TTAATGGGTAACCGGCCCCGGCCCCGGTTCTGCCCGCGGGCACCGGCCCCACGTCGGGAACAAGCACCGGGTTGTCACAACCCGTGTCCCCCGCACGGGAGCCCTGCCGGGGGGCACGGGGGCACGCGGCACCCGCCAGGGGCTTTATGGGACGCGGTGACCCCGAAAATGAAGGGGGGGGGGCAGAAATCCCAAAGAAGGGCCTGGGCACCCCAAGGAAAGGGGTTGGGACCCCCAGGAAGGGGCGCAGGGGACCCGGGAGTGTGTGCAGAGACCCCCCCCCAGAAAGAGCGTGGGGACCCCAAAGGTGGATGCAGGGACCTGAGGGGGTGGAAAACCCCCCAAAAGGGGAGTCTGAACCCCAAAGGGGGTGCAGGGACCCCAAAGAGGGGTGTGGGGGCTGCTGTCCCTCCCCTGAGGACACGGCTGGGGACCTGCTGCCACCTGGATGGGCAGAGCTGGGGGGACAGGGTGGCTTTGGGGACACAGAGTGTCTCTGGGGACCCCCAGTAGCTCCAGGACACACGGGGACCCTGGGGACAGGGTGACTCTGGGGGACACACGGGGACCTTGGGGACACACGGTGTCTCTGGGGAGATCCCCTGGCAGCTCCAGGACACACGGGGACCCTGGGGACACGGTGGCTTTGGGGGACACATGGGGACCTTGGGGACACACGGTGTCTCTGGGGAGATCCCCTGGCAGCTCCAGGACACACAGGGTGGCTCTTGGGACCTCGTGTCCCTGGGGACACATGGGGGACCTTGGGGACATGGTGTCTCTGGGGATTCCCAGCAGCTCCAGGACACATGGGGACCCAGGGGACAGGGTGGCTTTGGGGACACACAGTGTCTCTGGGGACCCCCAGTAGCTCCAGGACACACGGGGACCCTGGGGACCTCGTGTCCCTGGGGACACATGGGGGACCTTGGGTGGCTTTGGGGACACGGTGTCTCTGGGGACCCCCAGTAGCTCCAGGACACACAAGGTGACTCTGGGGGGACCTGGTGTCCCTGGGGACACAACGGGGGACCCTGGGGACATGGTGTCTCTGGAGACCCCCAGTAGCTCCAGGACACACAGGGACCCAGGGGACACGGTGACTCTGGGGGACACACGGGGACCTTGGGGACACACAGTGTCTCTGGGGATCCCCAGTAGCTCCAGGACACAGAGGGTGACTCTGGAGGACCTGGTGTCCCTGGGGACACAACGGGGGACACTGGGGACACACGGTGTCTCTGGGGACCCCCAGTAGCTCCAGGAACCATGGGGACCCAGGGGACACGGTGGCTTTGGGGGACACATGGGGACCCAGGGGACATGGTGGTGGGGACACACGGTGTCTCTGGGGACCCCCAGTAGCTCCAGGAACCATGGGGACCCAGGGGACACGGTGGCTTTGGGGGACACATGGGGACCCAGGGGACATGGTGGCTTTGGGGACACGGGGTGTCTCTGGGGATCCCCAGTAGCTCCAGGACACAGAGGGTGACTCTGGAGGACCTGGTGTCCCTTGGGGACACAACGGGGGACATTGGGGACATGGGGTGTCTCTGGGGACCCCCAGCAGCTCCAGGACACATGGGGACCCAGGGGACACGGTGGCTTTGGGGACACATGGGGGACCTTGGGGACACTGGGTGTCTCTGGGGACCCACAGTAGCTCCAGGACACTCAGGGTGACTCTGGAGGACCTGGTGTCCCCTGGGGACACAACGGGGGATACTGGGGACACGGGGTGTCTCTGGGGACCCCCAGTAGCTCCAGGACACACAGGGTGACTCTGGAGGACCTGGTGTCCCTGGGGACACAACGGGGGACACGATGGCTTGTAGGGGGGGGACAGGGTGGTGTCACTGTCCTCTCCGCCTCTCACCGGTGTCCCCATGCGTCGTGTGTGTGTCCCCTCAACGGCCTTTGGCCACCAAGCTCCAAGGAGACCCCCCAGGGTGTCCCCTGGTGTTCCCTGGTGTCCCCAGTTGGCATCCATGGCGGAAGCCACGTCGTGGCCAAGGGTTGGCGGGGGCTGAAAGGACTTTTTTTTGTGGCGGCGGCGGCGACCGGGGATGGGGACGGGGGACGGAAACGCGCCATTGGCGCGTTTCCGTCCCCCGTCCCCATCCCGTCCCCTTGTCACCTCCCATTCATCCCCCTTCCTCTGCCCCCTCAACGCTTGGGTCCTCTCCATGGGGGTGGTTGGGGGGCTGCCAGGGGACGGACAGACGGACGGATGATGGATGGATCCCTCCGCCAAGGAGGGGTAGGGGGGAGAGGTCCCTGTCCCCCCACATCCTTCCTCTCCACCTACCGCCCCCTCAGCTCCATCCACCCACTTTCTTACCATCATCCATCCATCCATTGTCCTTCCATCCATCATCTATCTGCTCTGTCCATCCTCTCCATCCATCAATCTTCTCCCACCCTCTTCATCCATCCATTGGTCCTTCTTCTCCATCCCTCTTCCCATCTATCCCTCCTCTCCATCCATCCTCTCCATCCTTCTCTTCCATCCCTCTTCATCCATCCATCCTTCTCCATCTCTCTTCCCATCTATCTCTCCATCCATCCTCTCCATCCGTCTCCTCCGTCACTCTCCATCCATCCATCCATCTATCCATCCCTCCATCCCTCCATCCATCCCTCCATCCCTCCATCCATCCATCCATCCATCCATCCATCCATCCTTCTCCATCTCTCTTCCCATCTATCTCTCCATCCCTCCTCTCCATCCCTCTCCTCCATCACTCTCCATCCATCCATCCATCCATCCATCCATCCATCCATCCATCCATCCTTCTCCATCTCTCTTCCCATCTATCTCTCCATCCCTCCTCTCCATCCCTCTCCTCCATCACTCTCCATCCATCCATCCATCCATCCATCCATCCATCCATCCATCCATCCTTCTCCATCTCTCTTCCCATCTATCTCTCCATCCCTCCTCTCCATCCCTCTCCTCCATCACTCTCCATCCATCCATCCATCCATCCATCCATCCATCCATCCATCCATCCTTCTCCATCTCTCTTCCCATCCCTCCCTCTCCTCCATCCCTTCCTCCCTCTCTCTCTCTCCACCTTCTCCATCCCTCCACCCAACCCACTCAACACCCCTCCCAACACCAGGACCCCCCTCTCCCAGGCAGCTTCCCCCCCCCTCACCTCCCCTCCCGTCACAACCCCTTCCAGATGACGTCGGCCACCAAGGTGTACTACAGCCAGACCACGCAGACCGACAGCCGCCCGCTGATGGGCTCGGGGCTGCGCCGGCGCCGGGTGTTGACCAAGGATGGCCGCAGCAACGTGCGGATGGAGCACATCGCCGACAAGCGCTTCCTGTACCTCAAGGACCTCTGGACCACCTTCATCGACATGCAATGGCGCTACAAGCTCATCCTCTTCTCTGCCACCTTCGCCGGCACCTGGTTCGCCTTCGGCGTCATCTGGTACCTGGTGGCCGTGGTCCACGGGGACCTGCTGGAGTTCGACCCGCCGGCCAACCACACGCCGTGCGTCATGCAGGTGCACACCCTCACCGGCGCCTTCCTCTTCTCCCTGGAGTCCCAGACCACCATCGGCTACGGCTTCCGCTACATCAGCGAGGAGTGTCCCCTCGCCATCGTCCTGCTCATCACCCAGCTGGTCCTCACCACCATCATGGAGATCTTCATCACCGGCACCTTCCTGGCCAAGATCGCCCGGCCCAAGAAACGGGCCGAGACCATCAAGTTCAGCCAGAACGCGGTGGTGGCCCAGCACAACGGCAAGACCTGCCTGATGATCCGCGTGGCCAACATGCGCAAGAGCCTCCTCATCGGCTGCCAGGTGACGGGCAAGCTCCTCCAGACCCACCTCACCAAGGAGGGCGAGAGCGTCCGCCTCAACCAGGTCAACGTGGACTTCCAGGTGGACACCTCCTCCGACAGCCCCTTCCTCATCCTGCCCCTCACCTTCTACCACGTGGTGGACGACACCAGCCCCTTCCGGGACATGGCCCTCCGGACGGGCGAAGGCGACTTCGAGCTGGTGGTCATCCTCAGCGGCACCGTGGAGTCCACCAGCGCCACGTGCCAAGTGCGCACCTCCTACCTGCCCGAGGAGATCCTCTGGGGCTACGAGTTCACCCCGGCCATCTCCCTCTCGGCCAGCGGCAAGTACGTGGCCGACTTCAGCCTCTTCGACCGGGTGGTGAAGGTGGCGGCGCCCTGTTGCCTCCACGAGACCGTGCGGTTCGGGGACCCCGAGAAGGTGAAGCTGGAGGAGTCCCTGCGGGAGGCGGCCGAGCGGGAGCGGGAGGGGGCCCCCCTCAGCGTGCGCATCAGCAACGTCTGAGCCCCCGCCGCCACGACAGCGCCGCGGGGGACACCGCGCCCGGGGGTGACACCGGCCCTGGAGGTGACACCGCTGCTGGAGATGCCACCAAGCCCGGAGATGTCACCAGCCCTGGAGATACCACCACTGCTGGAGGTGCCACCAACCCCTGGAGGTGCCACCAAGCCCAGAGATGTCACCAGCCCTGGAGATACCACCACTGCTGGAGATGCCACCAACCCCTGGAGGTGCCACCAACCCCGGAGATGTCACCAGCCCTGGAGATACCACCACTGCTGGAGATGCCACCAACCCCTGGAGGTGCCACCACTGCTGGAAGTACCACCAGCCCTCGGAGGTGCCACCACTGCTGGAGATGCCACCAGCCCTGGAGATGCCACTAGCCCCTGGAGGTGCCACCAGCCCTGGAGGTGCCACCAGCCCCTGGAGGTGCCACCAACCCCCGGAAATGTCACCAGACCTGGAGATACCACCACTGCTGGAGATGCCGCCAGGCCCTGGAGATACCACCACTGCTGGAAGTACCACCAGCCCCAGAGATGTCACCAGCCCCGGAGATGCCACCACTGCTGGAGATGCCACCAACCCCTGGAAGTGCCACCAGCCCTCAGAGAGGCCACTGGCTCTTCCTCCTGTCCCGTCACCCTGGGCCACCTCACTCCCTGGAGACCCTGCGGGTGCTCGCCCACCCACCGGTGGGGTGTCACCCCCTGTCCCAACCCTCTGGGGACGGGACCTTCCCCGTCCCCCCTCCCCTAACGCTCTGCTGACCCCAGCCAGAGACCCCCGGCCCCCCTGTGGGGGGGTGCTGTCCCCGGGGTGGGGGGACACACACGGCCACCTCCCACCCCTGGGGACAACCGGGGCCACCGCTTCTTGCCCACTGGGAGCCACCCCAGGCTGAGACCCGAGTCCGCTCGCTGCACGTGTGGGCTGGGGAGGCTCCGACCTCCTGAGACCCCCCCCAAATCCCTGGAGCGGCTCAGGAGGGGGGTGCAGACCCCTCCCCAGGCCCCCCCCATC